AGACTCAGAGACTGTACCATCATTGCACAATGTTAATGATTATTCTGTTCTCCCTTATAATAGAACAAAATGAGCCCCCTCATAATTTCTGATCATTGATCCTACCTCTGAGCATCCTTTTTTTTTTTTTTGAGACAGAGTCTCGCTCTGTTGCCCTGGCTAGAGTGCCGTGGCGTCAGCCTAGCTCACAGCAACCTCAAATTCCTGGGCTCAAGCTATCCTCCTGCCTCAGCCTCCCGAGTAGCTGGGACTACAGGCTTGCGCCACCATACCCGGCTAATTTTTTCTATATAAATATATTTTTAGTTGTCCAGATCATTTCTTTCTATTTCTTAGTAGAGATGGGGTCTCGCTCTTGCTCAGGCTGGTCTCGAACTCCTGACCTTGAGCGATCCACCCTCCTTGGCCTCCCAGAGTGCCTCCCTTACAGGCGTGAGCCACTGCGCCCGGCCTATTAATAGACTTTTTTTTTTGCAAAAAGTGAATGGAGCCAATTGGCTAAGGGAACTGACTGTGTGATAGTCTTTGTGAGATTCAGAAACAGTGATGCCTCAGATCCCCCATGACAAGCGTGGCCAGGACGGGAGGAAAGGATAGCTTGGGAGTGGGCATGTGGGAAGCATGAGATGGCACCTTTTGTGAGGATGCTAGTGTCCTCACAGGCTACTCTGTCAATAGTGGCAACAACAAAGCTTCTGATAGAAGCTTTTGAGAATCAGATGGTTGGGGATTTGCTAGAGGAAGAGTTGTGCCAATCAAGCCATTTAACTCCTAGTAATAAACCTGCATTAAATTTCCCCCTGCAGGCTGTTGAAGCCTTTGGTATCCTGTTTGTATCAAACACATGTTGACTCCTAAGAAAATCTTCAGTGTATACAACGCCACATACAGATATTTTATGTAACTAAATGCTTTGTCTTAGGAGGGTAGAGATGACGCCACAATCTTTTAAAATTTCAATTAGGTTAAACCTAATTTAGGCCAAATTCATTAACTGATCACCTCAAATATTAAAATGAAATTGCCCCATTTATTGCAAACATAAAGGTGGTTTCATCCCTCAGTTTCTAAGTATTTTTGATAGTAGAGATTCCCATGGTATAGGACTTTAAATAAGTTTCATGTATCAATTTTTTTCTTATTTCCCTTCAAGTTGGAAATTTCAAAACACTGAAGCACCATTCATACCTTAGCTTCCTTCAGTATGTATTTATTATAACAATTATTATTTTAAACTTGTGATAAAACTTTTTAAACCTCCTACATTTTACGTACTCCAAGTACATTAGTTTGTTAATGCTAGTGTTTCTGCAACAGCACTTAGAAATTTAATACTGTAATAGCTTTTTAGTCATGTAAAGTGGCTTCCCATCTTACCTATAGGAAGGGCTATCATTTTGCCTTTTTGTGGCCAACTCATGCATTAGATTTTTCTCTCTCGACAGTTGTAGGCTTTTCCACAGAAGGGGATTTTGAAGATTATGTTAAACAAAAGAATAACTCTAAGAAAGTTCTGGCTGCTATTGTTTTTAACCACCACTTCAAAAATAGCGATGATCCCCTGCCACTTAAGGTAAGAAAGTTTTATGTGGAAAGCTCCTAATTGTACTTCCAATTTCAAGAGATTTAATGAAGTATTGGTATCATTATTCCATTTCGTAAGTGGAGCAACTATCACTTTCTCAAGATCATACTGCTTGTACGTGGGAGAGCAGGGGTTGGAATGCAGATCTAACTTCGGTATCTGTGCATTTATGGAGCCAGTGCTTTATACTGATGAGGAAAGACTTGCATTCACCGCCTTATTCATACACTGGAATCCTAGGAAACATTTGCAGTTGCAGATATTACCATTGCCGTTGTATCTGATGCAGCACTTGTCTGTAGCCCTGCAGATGTGCAGAAAATGCACGTTTCCTAGGCCAAGACACCTGATGTCACACAGCAGTCACGTCTCCTATAGCAGGAAACACAACACAAAAATTTTCCTCTTTCTTTTGAGTAGATCTCATGATTTCTCTTCTAATCATACATCTAGAAAATAACTCCAAAATTTAGCTAGCCTGAATCAAAATTAGGACATCTGCAGACACTGAGGAAGATTGTGATTAACAGCGCCCAAGAGAGAGAGACAAGGAAGGACAGGGCTTTGCATTTGGTATCTCCGGTGTAAAGGGAAATAACGAAAACACGAGATACAGATATGCACGGAGCCAAAATTCTGTGCTTAGGATACAGGTTGGTTGTCGATGGAACAAAAAAGTAAGGAAGGACCACCAGGTTGTAACTAGGGTTATAGGGATCCGTTCTGTCCCATCAGTCCCCCTCATCTCCTCCAGAGGTGCCAAATTCCCTCAGGTGGAGTCAGTGTAGGCTGATGTTGATCTAGGCTCAATACACAGCGTGTATTGATCATGGCCAAATGTTTCAGGTGCAATTTCAAACTTCACCTCTTCTGCCTTGTGTAGTGTCCTTCACGCTGCCCCCTCACTTGGCCTGCTCTCACTTCCCCTTTATTTTACTGCTATTGTGACTCTGTCGACATTGTCTCTTCTGACCACACACACTCCTTTCCTCTTTCATCCTCCCAGGTATACGCTAACCGTATCTCTATCACTGACTTTATATGAGAATGTAAATATATATATATATGTTTTCTCAGAGTTTGAGGTCCTTAGGTCATAGGCACTGCCTGGCACCTTGAATATGTTATGACACCCTAACGTTTTTGCCTTGATAACTGTATCTATGACTGTTCACCTGGACCTATGGCACCTTCCTGCCCCTCCTGCTCTTACTGATGTCTCTGGTCTGACCCTTCTGACTTTTGACAACTCTTGGTCCATTTGTTGTCTCGTAAAGTTACTTAGCTCAATATGATGTACCTTGAAGTTTACATGGTTCTCCAAAATTAGTATTATCTTTCCATTTAATAATTGTATTATGCAACATTCCACATTTACATCTTATTACATCCTTCCTCTATTCTCATATATAGGATTCTTCCTTATGTTACAATCATTTTTAGGAGAGGAAGAGATTTTCCTCCCAGAACACTACATTTGGCTGACATAAAGGGAAGAGAAATTAACACCTTTCGGTATATTTCATTTTAGTATGCAGCCAGCTGTCTAGGGAAACATTCATAACGATATGCAAGTTACCACTGCATTTGCTTACCGCAGACCCACAGTATACATCCAAGTGTTATTGACACTTCAATAAAAAATTCCACAAAATTAAGAGAGAACAGATGTAAAGGAAGCAAGCTTAAGTTTAGACGTGGTCACAGCACGTGATGTGTGTCACGACACATTTGCTCTCACTTCCTGACGTTCAGGATCTACTCGGGCGCTCATTAGTCTACCACAAAATCACATGTTCCCGGTTGTACTTCAGCTTCCTTCTGTTTCTGATTCTTATTTGTTGATTTGTTTGTTTATTTATTTTGGTTCATACATAGTGTTTGTTCCTTATTGCTCCTTCTAGGTAGACTATTACCTGCGTTTTAGTAATTATCCTAAGAGCTCTGTGGTGGAGGAAGCTTTTGAAAAAGGAAACTGGCAGACAAGTTATCTCTTTCCACCTGTCCCTTCGGTGGGACCCAGAAACTATGATTCAGATGGGGGAAGTCCTGGTGAGCAGATCTTTGACCATACTTGTCTTAATATCCCAGTTGTATAGTGAGAGCCATCACATATTTATGCTTATATTTTCTCAACCTTTTAATCTAAGCTGCTTATTTTTAACTTACTATGTTGGTGATTTTTAATGTGTACAAAGCCTCCAACAAAAAAAATCCTGACATAGCCTGGATTAATTAATTAATTATAACTGTATATTATTCTGTTGGGTTGATGAATAATTTTTAATGTAACTATAGAAATTTTAAATTTATTATGCAAACTGCCATCTAAAAATATATATTGTGAGGCTTTACTTTTACCAACAATTTTGCAAATTTGCCTTCAGAAAATTACTCAATGCCAGAAACAAGCAATGACCACTTTAGCAGAGTTCTTATAAATTTGAAATAACCTACATCTTAAGTATGGCAAATGAATAATAAAAGTATAAAATATAATTTGACAGAATATTGTGGTCATTAACCATCATGAAATCTTGTAAAAGCAAAATTCAGGACTGTATTATCAAAGTATAGCTATGTAAACTGCATATTCATTAGCGTAAAACTGGGACAGATAACCAAATGTGAAAATACCTTCTGTGTTAAGGTGGTAAGATTGTGCTGCATGTTGTTTTTTTAAAGAATATTTTGAACACTATTTTTTCGGTCATAAAATTTGAAAGGGAATCTTATGCTTTTTCTAAATGATGTTACTACATTATGAACTTAGTCTGAGATAGTCCCTTGTAAGCATTAGTCAGGTGACAAACTTAGAAAGCTGAACAAGGCTAAGATTTGCCAGAGACATTTGCAGAAACCCAAATGCACCACAGGAGTGAAGGTGCCTAAGCTCATTTGGCCATTCTGGGGAGAATCTCTGGTAGTGGTAGCCAAATTAAGAATATGCTCCTGAGTAGAAACCCTTAAAAAAAAAAAAAACCCTCTTATGCATGCATAAGAATGTTAATGGCAGCGTTGTTTGTAGTGGCAAATAGTTGGAGGCAATCCAGCTCCTTAGTTAGGGCAACTAATTTGAAAGACTGGATTAGACGTATGCATAGCACCATCATAAAAACAAAACTAGGAGAATAAAGTATATAACACAATTTCACTCACCTGAATGAAAATATATGCAAACAAAATACCAATATACATTTTAGCATAACACATAAAAATGTAAAGATGCTCATCAAACACAGAATGATTGTTGATAGAAGGGAGAGGAGGGGCAAGGGAAATAGGAATGTAAAATAATAAATCAATAAAATAGATTAAGGGGCAGGAACCAATGAGTCATGAACCAAGGAGTACAACTAACGCTGTCCTCTGTACCTGAAGCTAAAAATGCGTGTGTATATACAGACACTTAAATATGTACATAATGCAATATAAAAGAAAGTAATAAACTAATTGATTAGAGCAGCCAAGCCCTATTTTTTTACTGTTTTTAATACAGTAAAAATACTTGTCACCATAAATTCTTATCCTTAATATAACCTTGCTTTACACAGCAGGCCTAAATAGAAAGGCATTATTATTTAAATAGTATCTATTTTAGCCTTAAATTCTTTCCTTCTCTGGTAATAAGAGCTAAAACTTTTCAGTGCTTACTCTGATTACCAATTACTATAAGATACGTTTCATTATGTCAATTTTTTAGGTAAAGTACCAGCTCATAGAGATTAATGCACTGTGCTAAGGGTTAAATAACTCATAAGCCCTGGAGCTGAGACTTAAACAAATGCATTCTGTATCCAGAGTCTGTGCACTGAACTTTCCCCAGCATGTTATCAAAAACAATACAAAACACATTTAATTTATATATATATAAATATGTGTGTATATATCTATATGTATAGAGATAATGTACCCCATGCCAAACATTCTTGCTGCTCTCTAGTCACAAGGGCTTATTGAGAAACAAATAATCTTGAATTACTGTCATCAGTACTTCTCTTCAAAAAAATATTGGGGCATAGTCTAGGATTCCATGGATAGCTACACAAGGGACCTGTGCTTAGAGGCTAGTCTTGCCCCAACAAAACTAAATGTTCTTTAAAGCAGTACTTCTCTAGTGAAGGTCTGAACGGTTTTCTTTTATTGTTTGTTTTTTATTAAATTTTCAGACCGTCATAGAATATAGCACTTTTGTGAAATACACTGGAAATGAATTAGTAGTAAAAGTTTTTGGTGTTAGGATATAAAAGGATATGGTAGTAATAAGGAAGAAAAAAACCCTGACTAAATGAAACTCATGCCCTGTGATGCTATTTAAGAATTTTGGATGCAAGGAAGCTTCGTTGAACTGAATTCCAGGGGGGGCAAAACCTTCATGGGTGAGCAGAGAGCTGCTGTGTCTTCCATACCTGGGGGCAAGTCTCTGATCTGGGTGCAAGTGGGTCAGTCATAGATAGAGACAGTTTGTAGGGATAAGGGGAGAGCATCTGCACATTTGACAATAGTGTGGACTGGTGAGATATATTAGAATCTGAAGAGCCCCAAATAAAAAAGGAATGTTTCAGTGTATGAGTTTTCTCTCCCCTAAGCCTGGGGTTTTTCATGAGTAGCAGCAGGGGAAGTCAGCTAGAAAGCAGAGAGTCCGTGCAGTCTTACAGTTCTTGTACTGTGGGAACCTGTCTCAGGATAAACCGAAACTCTCTGAAACTTCAGCCCAACCCTGTCCTAATTCAGAACCTGATAAAATATTAGCAATGGTGCAGTAGATGGGGGAATTGGACAGAGAGATAAAGGGATATATCCTTGATCCCATTTGAAAGCAGAGATGAGCTCAATTTAATTAAAGCTGAGGTTCAGATTTAGCTCAACTAAACTCTTGTGGAATTTGAATGATCAGTTCCTCACTGTAGCTGTATGTTAGAGGAAGGGGCTAGCATCGTTAAGAAAAGAAAACAAAACAAAAATTATACTTTAATGTCTACTGTTCTTTTAATCATAATATCTGGCATAAAATCCAAAATTATATAATATACAAAGAAGCAGGAGAATGTTACCCAACATCAAAAGAAAAAAAAAAGTCAAAATAATAGGTGGTTAGATAAGTCAGATATTGTAATTGGCATACAAGGACTTTAATATTAAAAAATACTTACTCTAAAAGAAGTTGAGAAATAAAGAAAAAAGGAATAATAAGAGATGGAACACAGAGACATAAACAGTATTCTGGTAGGCTTAAACATAACCATAGAAAAGGCATGTTTATCTCTAAACATAAAAAAGTTTACTTCTATATCTACTATGTCACGTGTCTTGCAACAGAAATTATGAGGCATATAAAAAGGCAAGGAAAAACAGTATGAAAAGACAAAACAATCATTAGAGTCAGACTCAGATATGACATAGAATTTGGAACTATCAGGGAATTTAAAATAACTTTGATTAATATGTTAAAATTTACTGGAGAAGGTAGACAACATGTAAGATCAAATGGCTTATTTCAGCAGAGAGAAACTATAAGTATTAAAAGGAATGCTAGAAATAAAAAACAGAGTAACAAAGATGAACAATGTGTTGTATGGCTCATTGGTAGAATGAAAATGGCCAAGGATAAATCAGTGAACCGGAAGATAGGTCAGATGAACAAACAAACAAAAGAACAACATATTCAAGAGTATTGGAAAAATACTGAGTAGTTGAAGACTTCCACTTCTGGGGAGATAGTGTAGGCTTGCTTTTTTCTGTTCCTCTCAACTAAATACAACTTGAAACGCTGGACATTATTTATAGAACAGTCATAAGAAGACTCTGAAAGGTAAAGAAACCAGATCAACTAGGGTCCTCTGGACCCAAGAAAAGTCATGGAGGAGAGTTCCTGGGATTTTCTTTTTGCTGCCTATATCCCAGACTTCAACCTGAAGAAGCCAACAACCCATAACTGTCAACATGGGTAGATAATAAACCCCTGGAAAAGCCTGAACTCTCTAGCAAAGGACTGGGAAAGAGGCAGACAGTAAGACGGAAAACTTCTCAGATGACAACTGCTCTCCTCCAGCCAAACATGACAGAAAAAACCGTGAATCCCTCTCTACCCATGGCATCAAAAGGTGAATGGGGAGCCTAGACTTCTACTTTTGTGAAGCTATAATGAAGTGCCCCAACATCTCCACCTATCAGAGAAGGCCAATTATGGAGGTGGGACATTCATCCTTACTGCCTGGTCGTAGCCCCGCCCCCCCACCTGAGTGTCAGTGGGCACCACGTGAGGAGTCTAGACTTCCAACCCTATCCAGCAATAATAATGAAATGTTCCTCTCCCATCTCACTCTCCCTCCACTTTCAAGAGGAAGCCTACTTGAAAGTCAGTGGAAGGTCATTGTCTAGCAGTAATTAGGTGTCATGAATATCATGGTGTCAGTGAGACCATCTGGTGATCTCAAAATTTTACCTCCACCCATCAGTAACCAGGAAACACCCCCTCCCCACCATGGATCCATCGAGGCCAAGTAGGAAATCTTGACTTCTGCTTCCTCTTGGCAGTAATGAGGAAGTAACCCCTCTTCCTGTGCTGAAATTATCTTTATTTGCAAATGACAGAATCATGTATACAGATAATTCT